GTGGCCTTCTCCATCTTTTCCCAGTTTGCTGGACTCACCAAGGAGCCTTTTGAAAGACCCTAGGGCTGTGCACACCTCCTCCAAGCCCTTAGGCCAGAAGGAGGGTGAGAGAATTGGAGAAGTGGCAGGGTCCCTCCCCACCCCAACCCTCCGTCCAGTGTATGCCCCAGGTTCCCGGGAGAGAAGAGCAGCTCAGGTCACCCACTTCGATGCTGGGGCACCTGGAGAGCCAGCATGGGGCCCCTGGGGAAGATAGTCCTTCAATGGGAACCTTCTAGTATAAAGACAAAGGGACGTCCCAGCTGCTAAGCAGCAGAGCTAGGACTTGAAGCTTGGTTTCTACGGGGCCCAATCCCAAGCTCTCCACCCCAAGGCTCTGCCCTTTCTCGCTCCAGTGGTTCTCAACCTGTGGGTCGCGACCCCTTTGGCGGTCGAACGACCCTTTCACAGGGGTCGCCTAAGACCATCCTGCATATCAGATATTTACATTACAGTTCATCACAGTAGCAACATGACAGTTATGAAGTAGCAACGAAAATAATTTTATGGTTGGGTCACAACATGAGGAGCTGTATTTAAAGGGCCACTGCAACTGGAGCTACTTTACTGAACGCTTACTACGTGCCAGGCACTCAGGGTCATTTCCACCTCATCGCATTGTCTAACTACTACATGTTGTGCTCTCTTTACAGATGAGGAAAGAGGCACAGAGGGTTACCATGCACCCTGGACCTCACAGCTAGCAGGTGGCGCCCAGGGTCCTGCCCTCTCCCCACTTCCTCTCCTGGTGCCGGAAAGCGCCCCCTACAGAATCAGTGAGAGTGCAGACTGTGCGTAAGCTAAAGGTTTGCCCTCCCGCCACCCTTTGCACATTTGACAGCACGACGCACCTCACCCGGTGCTGTGCACAGCGTGTGCCCCTGCTTGCCCCCGTGCCTGCCTGCCCCAGGAGCCCTGGGTCCCTCTGGCCACCTCATCACCACCTCTCCTGGCCTGGCAGCCCCTGGAGTGTCCCTACTGACTGCTGGTCCCACACTGCCACCCACTGGCCACTCCTCCCCTGGTTTCACTTGCAAATCCATACAGTTTGTCCCTTGGAGGGGAGCCCCTCGCTGCCCCCCAGGGATGGGCCTTACTGCAGGATCTCCCCGCCCCTCCCCACCCAGAGCGGTCACCAGATAGGTCACAACAGTGCACAGCAGTGCCTTCCTCAGAGTCGGGCTCATTTGGTCTCTGTATTCTCACTAAGTACAGTCTCTCCTCTGCTGAAGGACAGTCCACATCTGTGTGTGTGTGTGTGTGTGTGTGTGTGCGCGCGCGCGTGTACTGAGCTCTCCCGGGTACTCACTGGGCCCTGGTCACTGTAGGCTATTCCAAAGGCCTTAGTCCAGTGGTTCTCAACCTTCTGGCCCTTTAAATACAGTTCCTCATGGTGTGACCCAACATAAAATTATTTTCGTTGCTACTTCATAACTGTCATGTTGCTACTGTGATGAATCGTCATGTAAATATCTGATATGCAGGATGGTCTTAGGCGACCCCTGTGAAAGGGTCGTTCGACCGCCAAAGGGGTGGTGGCCCACAGGTTGAGAACCGCTGCCTTAGTCCCATCCCTTGGGACATGCAGGTATCACGAGGTCCGTGTGGCAGAGTCTGCCCCCATGAGCCCACTCCTGCCCCAGCCCGGCCGTCCCCAATACTGAGTCCTCCCCTGTGTGCAGGTGGCTGGGCAGACAGCTGCTGCAACAGGAGCAGCGAGAGGAGAAGCTGTGTGTTCTGACTCCTGGGTTGTGGAGAGCAGCTACAGCGTTTGGACAGGTTCAAGCCTGAACTAATGAGAGGACACGATCCTCTCATGGCAAAACCACGTGCACGTCCAAAGGCTACAGTTGTAAGCTTGACCTTATGGTCCGAACCTGTGGTCCCACGTGGCTGAGTGATATAAGCTGCGGGAGGTGCAACAAAGCTTATCAGGTGCATGTGGTTGAGTAGATTGACTCGAAACCTGCGAGAACATTATAAACATCTTGACCACACCCTTACTTTGCCTCCTGGAATCTGGCTATAAAATAAAGACTCGGCTTGCAGGCTGTGGCACTGTCTCTCCATCAGAGAGGAGTGTCCCACCCAGCCCCAGCTTTATTCTCTTGTCTGTCTTCTTTAATCCTTCGCCAGCCCCCTCAGGTTCACCCATGGCTGTGCCGGCTCGGCACACTGGGATAAGTGCAAACATCTGTCTGTGTGGGACCCAAGTGGGGAGTGTGTGCTGTGTGAGCACTGGCATTGGTTATGGAGACTGCAGGGGAGAGGCACAGCCACGGCTGACTTGGGATTTATTATAATCAAGTTTTACTTATGGAATTTAAAAGTTTAGCCCTAGCTGGTTTGGTTCAGTGGATAGAGCATCGGCCTGTGAACTGAAGGGTCCCAGGTTCGATTCCAGTCAAGGGCACATGCCCGGGTTGTGGGCTCGACCCCCCAGTAGGGGGCGTGCAGGAGGCAGCCGATCAATGTTGTTCTTTCTCATCATTGATGTTTCTATCTCTTTCCCTCTCCCTTCCTCTATGAAATCAATAAAAATAAAAATAAAAACATTAAAAGTTTAATGAAAAGGACACCAGTTTAAGAAAAATTATAAAAATGTTAGAGGAATTGTAATCTAATGAACTCCATTTTTATTTATTTTAAAATATATTGTTATTGATTTCATAGAGTAAGGGAGAGGGAGAGAGAGAGAAACATCAATAATGAGAGAGAATCATGGATCGGCTGCCTCCTGCACGCCACACTCTGGAGATTGAGCCTGAAACCTGGGCATGTGCCCTGACTGGAAATCAAACTGTGACCTCCTGGTTCATATGTCGATGCTCAACCCCTGAGTCACGCCAGCCGGGTATTAACTCCATTTGTAGAAAACAGGTTATCTCAGAGCATGCACTGAGATGCCCTGGGCTGGGAAGAGGACCTAGCCCCACCCTCAGCTGCCCAGTCCTTTGCGTGTGAGTGGGACTCTGCTCAGCCTCGGGTCCACCTGGCCCAAACCAGAGGGAGAGTCCTTCTCCATTTTCCAAGCAATGGAAGCTTCCAGATCTTAGGCTTCCTCCAAGGCTCTGAGATCTCAGATCAGATTCTCAGACGGGGCTCAGGGACAGAGGCCTGGGTCCAGCTGAGCATAAATGTGTGTGAGAGTGTGTGTTCTGTGTTTGTGCATGCTGGTGTGTCTGTGTGCCTATGTGTACACATGTGTGGACATGTGTATATATGTGAGCTGTGTGAGAGTGTGTTTGTACATGTGGATGTGGGAGGGGTCAGGGAGTCACAGAAGAGAGCCTAGTTTGAGGGTAAGAGCTGGGCCCTGGAGCTGTTCTTTGGGGTTGGGATGGGGGCTCCTGACCTCTGGCAGGCTGCTTGGCCTCTCAGGGTTTCTCTGTCTGTGTGTCTGCCGTGTAGGCTGTGTGGGGTGGGTACAACCCTCGCTTTTCCAGTCCAGTGAGATCATTGGGTGCCCCGGTAGAGCACCCACCCAGCGTCGGACCGGGAAGAACGGTTCAGCAGGTCAGTTGAGGCGGTCATCAGGCCTCCTGTTTCTCGGAACCCTGCTGGTGTGAAGGTCACCTTAGGAGGCTCCGTCAGCCTCAAAGGGCCCTCAGTTCAATGTCTGCACACAGCGGGTCCCCGCTCACCAGGAGCTGCTGCTCTGAAGAGCCTGGACCCGAAGCCCAGGCTTCCACGTGCGTCTGTGTGTTGAGGCATTGGGTGGGGGGGCGCGGGGCGCAGGGCGCGGGGAGCGGTCGGCGGTCGCTGGTCCTTAATCCCGAAACCTGAGAGCAGCTCAGACACACCTATGGGTAGGACAGGGGCCCCGGCACCTGCGGTCCCGCGGGTGGCCTGTAGATGGCAGCAGAGGCTCGCGTAGGGCTCCGGCACCGAGTCGCACCTGCCTAGTCCAGGTGAGCCGCCTGGTTCGCGTCCCTCAGCCTCGGGGTTGGGGGCGAGTGGGGGAGGCGGGGGACACATGCAGGCGTGGAGCAGATTTGTCCAAGGAGACAGCAACACCCCCTGCGGTTCTAGACAAGTTGCTCCCTCTCACGGGGCCTCCATTTCCTTGGTGAAATAAGAGTTAACAGCTTGTGATGGGAAAATTGGCTCAAAAATAAGTAAGGAAGCCTACGAACAGACCTACCTACATGTGGAAGAGAAAACCGGAAAGCTAATAGAGAATCTGCCACCGGGGTGTGGGAGGAGGAGAGTTTTTATTTTTCATTTATTTTATGGGGGAGGAGAGAGAGAGAGAGAGAGAGAGAGAGAGACAGAGAGAGAGAGAGAGAGAGAAAGAGAAACACGGGTGTGAGAGAGACACAACGATCAGCCACTCCCTGCAAGCAAGGGCCTCCACGGGGAAGAACCCGTGACCTTCGGTGCACCGGACGAGACCACGACCGACCGAGCCACACTGGCCCGCTAGGGTAGGAGGAGACTTTAAACATGATACTAAAAGCCCAAACTTGAAGGGGGAAATTAAATGGGAATTTAGGATTTCTGAGTTAATGATGTTGTCTCCCAAGGGAAAAAAAAAATAAACCAAAGGTATGAGCAGTGGGTGCACACAAGGAGAGAGATGCCAGTGCTAGAGAGACGCGAATCACAACGAAATGCTATCTCACTCAGCAGGTGGGCAAAAATCGCGATTTTAGATTGGGCACCAAGGAAGTCTCTCTTTACAAGCCATCCTGGAGGCCGCCTGGCAGTCTAAAGAGAGAAAAACACGACTCAAGCGGAGGAACAAGACTCCTAGATCGCTCGTAAAATCAGGGGCTCGCACAGCGCGTGCGGGAACCCGTTTCGCGCCGGAGTCTCCCAGCGAGGTCCCGGGAGCCGGGGAGGTTGCCGCCCCTCGGGAAGCCACGCCCCCGTCCATGCAAATCACAGCCCGGGGGTGGGGCCTCCTGGCGTTCCCGCCCCGCCCCGTCCTGCCTGGGAACGCCTGGCCCTTTAAGGCTGACCAGGCCCGGCTTCCAGTTGTAGACGCGCGGGGGAGGGGGTGCAGTCACGTGGGCCGCGGGCGGCAAGACTCGCGGCTCCGGGCGCCCGTGGCCGTCGGCTCCCGCTCCCGCCGCCCCTGCCCTTCGCCCGCGCCGCTGCCAGGTGCGCTGCGGTCAGGTACGCCCTCGCCAGGTGCCCTCCCCGCGCCCCTGCACCGCCCGTTCCCGGGACCAACGGCCCCTTTCGCACTCCATAGGTGCCCGGGGCGGACTCGGGGCGCCCGGCTGCGCGACCACCGCCCCTGCCGCGCGTCCGACTCTAGGCAGTTGGTCCCCAGCGCATTCCCAGCGCGTCTGCCGGCGCAGCCCGCAGCCCCCAGCCCAGCCCGGTCCGGCTCGGGCGCCACGGCTGGAGTGTGCTCTCCCCTCTTTCCCAGGTGGCTCTGGACGCGCCAGGCTGGGGCCGCCTCTGAGCGCCCCGCGGGGGCCATGGATGGCGAGATGGGAGAGGAACCGGGGGGCGCGTTGCCCCCGCCAGGTGCACCTTCCGGCCCCGGCCAGGCGGGCGCCCCGGCCCTCGCGGGGCGGCGGGAGCCCAAGAAGCACGCAGTGACCGAGGACTACCAGTTGTCCAAGCAGGTGCTGGGCCTGGGCGTGAACGGCAAGGTGCTGGAGTGCTTCCACCGGCGCACGGGGCAGAAGTGCGCCCTGAAGGTCAGTGGCCCTCCCCGCGCCCGCCCGGTGACCCGGAGGGGCCAGCAGCAGCAGAGGCTGCGGCTCCCGCCAGGCTTCGTATGCTCAGCATCAGGTGTCAGCCTCACACTCCCCTGTGGGGCCAGGCTCCTCTTCCGCCCTGCTTTAGAGATGGGGAACTGAGGCTTAGCTCAGCTAAGCCCCTGGTGTCCCAGGGAGCAGAGGGTGGAGTCTGTGTGGGTAGAGCCTGCTGTACCCGGAAGTGGAGAAGGAGTGACCCCTGGCCCTGGGGTTCTGGCTGCGCTTGTGGTTGGAATGGGTCTGAGTTTCCCTCTGAGGCGGAGAAACCACCAAAGCTTGGAGGGGGCGTGGGGGGGAGCTACTTTCTCCTGCCTGCCTGCCTGGGCTGGGCCCTGGGAGCCTCCCAGGCTGCATGGTGGGCAAGGCTGATGCCCATCACACCCGCGGGCAGGAGGCTGCTGACGGCTGCAGCTGAGTCACAGGCCCCATGTTGAAAAAGGCAAGCCCTGCTCCATGCCTGACCCAGCCTGGTTTCTGGGAAGAGGGCAGGCCAGCCAGCTAGCCATGTGACACCATAGGCTGCCAGAGGGTCTGGTTAAAACCTCACTGATGCAGGTGGAATCGGGGGAGTCCTGGGAGTGGCTGATCTAGCGACCCTGTTCTGGCTTAAGTCACTTAGTTCTAGGCCCGGGACCCTGCCCCAGACCTGGAATCCCTTGAATCTGAGAACTTCAGTCAATTGCAGCTGGTGCCAGCGGCCACCTGGATGGGGAGAGCATGGCACGGAGCGTGGCTCCTGGAGGTTAGAACACAGCAGAGGCCCTTCCCATTTTACAGATGGTGCCATTCTGAGCCTGAGCTCACAGTCCTGCTCTAACCTCTGGCCTGCATTTGCCAGCTCTGTGACCTTGGACTAGGTTCTGGAGTCTGGAAAGCAGGTTTCTGCCTCTGTGCGGGGGAAAGACGGGTTGGTGTGAGCTGGGGAGGAGACCATGTGCAGAGAGCCTGAGGCAGGCCGGGGGAGGCGACAGGACTTATTTAGGGCACAGGGTCTGCAAGCGTCTGAGCAGGAGCCTGGGCTCAGCTCCCTATGTCTTTCCTAGGGGCGCTAGGGCTGATAGCGGGGGTCGTATCCCTGGGTGGTCTTGGGGCTCAGGAGCCTGGGTCCAGAGGAGGCTCAAGGGTGGGCTGCTGAGTCCGGGTCTCAGACAGAGCTCCTCTGCCTGCTGACCCAGCAGTGGGGTGGGGTTGGGGCCCTCAACGGGTTCTTGGAGTCTTTCAGGGAGAAGATGGCTCTTCTAAGGGGGGAATAGGCTCAGGGGGTGAGACGTGAGCATGTCCGCCCTCTCCCTCAGCACCACCTTAGCCCTTTCACCCGTGTTAGTGTCTGGGTGGGGAGGGGCCGCCTGAGGCCAGAGAATCTCTTCTTAGTACCAAGGCCCTGTGAGCCAGGGCTGCGCTCTGCCTGGCCCCCGTGCTGTGAGCGAGGCAGGCCTGAGGGGGAGGCTGCAGTTTGGGGGGCCCAGGCAGCACTGGCTTTAACCAGGCTGGGCCTGGGCTCTGCCCCGTAGATGCCATGTCTGATGAGGGACTTGGGGCACTTCTGACTCCGGCAGCGTCCAGAGCACCGCTCCTGCACGCGGGGCCTCAGTGCCGTCTCTGCTCCCTGGGAGCTGGGCCGGCCTACAGCAGGCTGCCTCGCCGGACCCGTTAGTCTGATGGGTGAGCCTGCCTAGGGCTCCTGGCTTCGGACCTGGCCCCACTTTGGCGCTCGAGAGGGACATGGATTAGGTTTGGCCCCCACTTCCCGTTCTTGGCCCCCTCACACCAGCGGCCACACCTGGCAGTCCCTACCCAGCCAGGTAGTTCGCATTACACCTTCCAAACTGGGATTAGCACAGCCTTTGGCACGTGGGACCTGTCCTGTGAGTGGTGGCTCTCGCCTTGAGGAGGAGGTGGCGTTTTTCCTCTGACATCTGCCTCTGCCCCCTGCCCAGGAGGGCCAGGGCCTGGGCACCTTAGCACCTGGGCAGGCCGGGGCCCAGGGACTCAGCCAGTCCATGAACGGGTCTCAGCCCTTTCTCTGCCCTGCCTCGCCCTCTCCCCAGCTGCCCAGGTCAGCGAGGTGGGCCCCTGGGCTCCGTGTCTTTCTGCCTCCCCACACCTCCATCCCAGTCCCCCAGGCTGGCCTGTCTGCATCTAGTAGCCTGGACACATTCAGGCCATTGCTGCCCTTCTTGGTGGTCCAGGCCTAGTGCCCCAGCCTCTCTCCAGGCCCATCCTCTCGGCCTTGTGGCCCAAGAAGGCAGACAGTGCTTAGCGTGACTCCTGGAGCCCAGCAGGCACCCCCAGAACAGGAAGAGCTGTGGTCGCTGTCCCCATGGCTGTGGCTGTTCTGCAGGGGCCCTCGAGGAGCAGGCCCCTCCTTCCTGGGGAGCTGGGCCTCTTCCTCTTTCCCTCGGCCCTGACCGCTGGCTGGGTCCCCCATGGCCTCGCTGACACTCAGGGGCTCCCTCCCAGGGCAGCCTCCGCAGTTAGTGCAGTCACGCCTCTCTCCATGCAACCCTGGGCGCTTGCTGCTGTCCCCTGGACAGGAGCTGGACTCCTGCTGAGTATGGGAGCCGGCAATGCCTCCTGCTGACTTCTTGACTGTGCTCCCTCCCAGGCCTGACTGGCTCATTGGCACCCCAAAGTGTCACTCCTAACTGGGCACAGCCCTGAAGCTCTGTCCCCACCAGTGACCCCAGCACACTGGAGACCCAGCCCCTCCATCCTGATCACAGAGATGAAAACTGGGACCTGAGGTGTAGTCAGAAGTCATGTGACCTGATTGGGATGGGATTGCAGCAGAGGCCAGAATCCCCTCCCCGCCTGACTTCCTGCCCAGCCCACATGTGGTCCTCAGCCTCCTGGCAGGCGGACGTAACCATGGCACTTGCTTAGGTAAATAAAAGCAAGAAAGGCCTTGCGGAGACAGCGGTTCATCACGTGGAAGGAGAGGGAGTCTTCCCTCTTGCCCTGCTCGCTGGTCTCTGGGGCTGGGTGGGGCCCTCTGCCCTGACCGCTGGAGCATGTTGGAGGCCCTCGGGGCTCCCAGCGCCCTCCTCTTCTGGTCTTTGTCAGAGAGAGTGGGGTGGCGGGGCGCTGGGCGCGCATGCCCGGGAGATCCCCGCATCGCTCCTTGGGCGCGGCGGCCTGTGGGAGCTGGCCTCGGAGCCGGATTTGGGGTGAGGCTGCTTTCTCATTCGGCAGCTGGCACGCCCTCGCCTACCTCTCCAGACCGGTCAGGGCAGCCTCCGCAGGGGCGCTTGCTACTGAGTCACCGTATCAGGAAGTGGACGGAGGGGCTGGCGGCCCTGTCCATGAGTCCCCAGCCCTGTTGTCAGCGCCCTGAGCTTCTCCCCAGGCCCCTCTCCTGGGAGGGAAGTGTGTCAGGTGCCCAGGTGCCCACGCTGGCGGAGCCTGCTGGCTGCCCGGCTGGCACTTTGCTTTTTACCTGAGGATCCTCAGGAGGCAGCGAACCCTGAGAAACGCAATAGTGGAGTTTCCAGCGGGAGCGGCTTGTTCGGAGATGCTGTGCGCCCTGCCCCGCGGGCCTCGCCCACAGCCTCAGAAGCTGCTCGCCCGCCTCCCGGCGGGGTCCCCTCTGCTGGGACTCCCATCAGGAGCCAGTGCCAGCTCTCCAGGCTCTAGGCCAGCCGTGGGCAAACTATGGCCTGCGGGCCGGATCCGGCCCGTTTGAAATGAATAAAACTAAAAAAAAAAAAAAGACCGTACCCTTTTATGTAATGATGTTTACTTTGAATTTATATTAGTTCACACAAACACTCCATCCATGCTTTTGTTCCGGCCTCCGGTCCAGTTTAAGAACCCCTTGTGGCCCTTGAGTCAAAAAGTTTGCCCACCCCTGCTCTAGGCTCTGGTGTTGTGGATTCTAGGATTCTCATCGACAGCTCACAGTCTTCCAGAGCCTTCTGTAGGGCAGGCCCCGTTTTCCATGCGTGACACACACATGCTAGCTTACCCCACTCCTGTCACCTCCATTTCGTGGATGGAGACACTGGGGTTCAGAGAGGTGGCCCACTTGCCTGAGGGGCACAGCCCGAGTGGCAGGGCTGGGATTTAGCACCAAAGTCAGCGCGCCTGGTGCAAACCTGTGGGCTACGGGAGGGTCTCTGACACGTGGCTCTTGGGAAGGACCTGGCATCGTCCTCCATGGCCCCACGTGCTGCTCTGGGATTTGCCTACATCTCCGCCCGACACAGGACTGTGTGAATGGACAGGTGGTGACCCCGCAGGGTCAGTGCGCGAGGACTGGGGTGGCTGCAGGGCCACCTCAGAAAGGTGGTGGTTCAGCCCACGCGTGTGGCCCAGAGGGCTGGGCCGGCGGGGCTTCAGGAGGAGCCTGCCTGCTCGTGTCCAGGTCTCCGGCCTGAGGAGTGCCTGGGTGCGGGCACGGGGTGTGTGACCACCGGCTTGGCGTGACAGCTCAGGGCCCGCTGTGGGTGCCACTTCCCACTTGCCGGCCTGTCCGGCAGGATGCGGCTGCTCTCAGCGGGGCTGGTGTCTAGGCCCCGGCACACCCTGGGGGCCGTGGAGGACGGAGGGGCTGCGTGCAAGAGGCCTTTGTGTCGGGCCTTGAAGGATGAGGCCAAAAGGTCGGCGGGGACTGCCCCTCGGGTTCACACCTCACCCACCAGCGGCCTGTCGGTGGGGCCTCCCTCCTGCTCGAAGAGCTTGCGGTCACAGCATCCCAGGCCCGTGTGGAGGCCACAGGGTGTCCTTCAGCTCAGGCTGTGCAGGCCAGGCCTGGCCTTCATGGCAGCAGGTGATGCCCGCCAGGGTTCGCCCTGGGGGAAGCTGTTCTTCCACGTGGGCATCCTTGTGGGGGGAGACCCTGCAAGGGGCCGCGCGTGGAGCTTGTTGCTCTGCAGCCCCCCAGCTTCCTCGGGCCCAGACTGGCCGCTGGCTGCCGGTATCCGAAGGTGAGGCACCAGGCC